TGTATGTGTATGTATGTGTATGTATGTGTATGTATGTGTATGTATGTATGTATGTACGTATGTATGTATGTATGTATGTATGTATATATGTGTTTTTCCTAAAGCGGTCTTTTCCTTGCTTCAGTCGTTGTGCCCTTTGGCACTTGTGCTGCAGCCGCTAGTCCGCTAGAAGTCCACCTCGAGGATCTCGTCCTTGGTGGCTGGCTCTTCTGCCGTTTCCGAGTGACCAGAGCCGCTGCTTGGGTCTGTCACAGCCTGGATCTGGTTGTCACCGGCTTTTGGACGCTTGGGTCCTGCTGTGAGGCTGGGTTTCATAGCCTTTGCAGGTGGCTTCAGCCGCGGTGACTCTCTTGTTTGGTTTTGTGAGCGATCGTCTCCCGCTGAGAGGCTGGGCGTCATGGCCTGTGCAGGAGGGTCCTCATCTTCAGTCTGAGTGAATTGCGTGGAGAAGTGGAGTCTCTTTGGTGTTGGCCTGGCGGGGGTGTTGGCTGCTTGCAGCCCTGCACTGTGAGTGGTGGCGGCTGTTTGCTCCTGTTCTGGTGTGGGTTGAGCTGTGGGCTTGGAGAAAGAGTGGATCGGCGGTGATCCTTTCAGGCCCACTCCTTTGCACTCTTTGTGGAACGTGGCGCCCCCTATCACCCTCTGTTGGCTGTCAAGATGTAGCTGAGTGCGCCGAACTTGGTTGCCCTTTTGCCACAAGCTGTGACTTGGGTGCCCTTCATGTGGTGCTTGGAAAGGCTGGTCAAGGCTCTGGACGAACGCCTGGAACGCTTGCTCATTGGTGCGCTTATGGACATTAACTCCGCATCTCTGGCATTTGAGGTACCCCTTGGTTTCCTCCAGGATGCGCTTGTCAGGAGCTGGTGGTGTGTCTTGCTGCGCAGTAGCTGACGAATGAGCTGAGCCCTAGTGGGCTTTTTGGTCAGCTCTGGAGCCAAAGGTGGTACCGCCGGACGGTGCTCATCCAGCTGTAATTGTGAGCATTTGTTGCATTGTTCATGAAGCCTCTCATCAAGCAGGGAGGCCGTCAGCCCCTGGTGCATCTGGGCGCCGCAGGCACTGCAGTGGTAGCCACCCCGATGAGGTTCCCATCGATGGTGCTGGGGTGTCCATGGCTGCCGGCATTGGTTGACCAAGTCTTTCTTCCTTTGTTTGGTCTGCTTGCCTAGTTGGCGTGGTGCCTTGTCGTGGATGTAATGCTCTTTGTCCTCATAGATCTTGACAAGCCTTTGAATGGCACGCTTGTAGATCATGGTGTTGTCTTGATCTACCGTTTTTTGCCGCTCCGTTTGGCGTTTGTCATGGAGGTTGTTTGCTCGCTCCCAGGCCACTAGTGCAGCATCTCGTTGGCGTCTGCGGAGTTGAGGCTCGTTGCCCGGGGCTTCAGGTGTTCGTGTGTTCCTGCTGACATAAAGCACCGTGACTCGCTGCATGTCCTCGATGGTGAGATCTTCCAAGAGATCTGGGAAAGGCTGGTAGCGGTGGTGAGTCTGCCATGCTGCCCATACGGATGCTACCTGCACAATGACCTTGACTGGTGCGGTTGTGTGCTTTGCTAAAGCGACCAATCCAGCAACCAAAGCCCGAGCCTTTGTCTGGTCACCTGTGGGAATGCTTGTGATGGCTCCCAGTCGCTTGAGCTGGCCCATGCTGAGGGTGTGGACACAAAGGCCAAAGACCCAGAGCTGACTCCTGGCATCGTAGGTCGACGGGGCGGCGTCCAAAGTGAAGGCCCATCCAACGTATTGGTGTGGTGCCAGTGGCTGCAGGGTTTGCCGGGATCCATGGCCTTGATATGGATGGCTTGCTGCCGCTCTTGGGGTTCGAGTGGAACCCACATCGTTGACCAGAGTGGTTCTTCTTCTGGGCAGGTAAGGCGCTCCATCCATTCTGCTGGGATGGGTTCACGCTTCTGGGTTTTGTGCCACTTGCAAAGCCAGATGACATGCTTTGGTGTGGCTGGCACTTGACAGATTGGACACTGCTTGGTCTTGCATTGCAAGCTCGAGGAGAAGTGGTGGGTATTGCAGCTTGAGGGCCTTGTCTTGGAGACGGTCCAGGTTGATGGTGTCATAGAACATGGACATATCCATCAGGATTGTG